TCAGCGGCAAAAGCGCCTGCCTGGCAAGCACAAGGTCGTGAGTTCGGTTCCCGGTACCGGAGAAAAACCAAAAAAAAAAAAAAAAAAAAAGATGCGGGCTTCTGAGAGACCCTTCTGTGGAGTTTCACGTGAACATGAAAAGCACATATCATATTGCACTTGAGGTAAGCAGAGGCAAATCATTTAAATTCTTTTTACATTTGGCCTCTGACATCACTCAGCCAATGAACTTACTGGGATTAGTTTGCTTAAATACCTCAGATCATATATACGTGCAAGGCAAGTATGGGAAGCCCCCATAATGCACCCTTTCCTGCTTATGTGAGAGAAAGAAGCTTGCTAAAGATGCCCACCTAGCAAACCCTTCAACATGACGGACAGGAGCAGCGCTGATCAGGCATCCTCCAGCCACAGGCTAAAAACAGAGAAACTGCACACAGATATCAGACCTTGGACACATCATACAAGGCCCGTGCAAGTAGGCATGCCACCCTGAGAAAGGATATTTGCAATTTTACTTAGGCTGTAAATTAGTAAACAATTTCAGAGGTAGTATATTGTTGCAAGCATCATGTAAATATATAGAGTTACAGTGCTCTTCATAACACAAAAAGTTGGCCCCAAACTCTTCCTCTGCTGTAAGAGCAGAAGATTGTACAACCTATCATCCAAAGAGCAATTTCACTTCAGATCTGCAATGAGATCTTAAATTTGACCTTTCGTAAGAAATTATTAAAGACCTTATACAAAACCAACAAATGTCCCTTCTCTTTTAGATTTATTATAGTTTTATTAATGTGTTTGAATAAACTCCTCAGGAAGCCTGTGGTTTCTCAAATGTAACTTCTTTGCAAAGCGTTTACCTGTTTCCCAGAGAGATGGGCCCTCTCTTTGAAATATTTAGACTTTCAGGGCACTTTAGTCATAGTGACACCTAATAGCCAAGCTCTTTTTCTCACTCTCCACAAAATCAGGTTTAGACTATAATTCAAACCAATCCCCAAAGGCCCTTCTGAAAAATGGCAAGCCCTTAGCTTTTAGGTGAAAACACTCTTTATTGCTCAAAATTGTTTCCCGTTACAAAACCTTCTCTATAGTACTTGGTCTAAGATGATCTTATGCTAATGTAACTCACTGGGGACTGTGAGCAGAAGCTACTTTGATAAATAGTTTCACTATCCTGAAAATGCCAGGCCAGGTTCAAGATAATAAAATCAAGTAAAAATACTCTTAAAATCTGCAGTAAGATTATACCTGCTATGGGGAGAGAAATGGGATCACAGTCCTTGTATCAAGTAAAGACAACCTACAACAAAAAACAACAGCATAAACTAAATGAACACACTGTCTGAATTCTCTAGCATGTTCAGACACCCTTTTAATCACCAGTCTCTTTACTAATACCCTACAGGTGTATTATCAGCTGGATTATTGGTGAAAACTCAGTGTGTCACCGCAATGCTTGCTATTTTTTCATGTAGTATTTAAATTTTCACCCAGGAAAAGACTTATATACACCAAGAACAATGCATTTTGTGACCTTTGCTTATCAAAAGGAAAGTATCTGAATTTGCATGTCCTGGATCATTATTTTCCAGTGAGTATATTTTTAACATTCCAACCTTCTTCTTTAAAAATACATACAGAAATGGTGATCTTTGATATGAAGAGGCTGAGTGAATTGGTAGAAAGACTTCTGGAAAAACACCTCCTGAAACTTTAGTCCCTCTCTCTTCTGCTTTTTTTGTCATTCATCTCCTAACCATGAACTTCCAAATCACAATAGCTTCCAGCTGAAAGACGTCATGAACTCTAACCTCATCTTCAACTGCACAGAATTTGGGATGTGCCTTATATACGAGTATAAAGAAATCTTCAAAGTTCCTTTGCCATTGAATTTTACCTTTAATGTAACATGGATGACTTAATCATATTCCCAATTTCTGATCTGAAATTTAACCTTCAACTGAATTTTATATATACCTCGGTTCACAGACTTAATTCTTGCCATGATTCTGGTAACGAACTAAATTGGGTGAGAACCAAATCAAATGCAATGGTTAGGTTCCATGTTGATCTCATGGAGAAATTTGAGTCCATTCTCTTTCAGTTTGGCTTTTGACCAGAACGGTTTAAAGAATTAAGTTCGTACACAGAGGTAACACTGTGTAGATCACCCGCCTCAGTGAAACTCTTGCTTTGCTGGGAAGCAGAAAGTTTCAATGCATCAACTGTAATTCTAGATAGCACCTCCTTCACAGAGGAGGAAGCTAGCCTGCTAACGCCAATCTGCCACCTGCATGAATTGAGTGTCACACTCACCACCTTGGAATGCAGATACAACTCAACCCCATTTGTATGAAATTCTCTACTCAAAACCATTGCCTCACCATTGCACAGAATGACTCCGGAGGGTCTCCACAGGTAATATCTGGAGGGTCCAGTTTCACTTTCAGATATTTGGTCATGTCCGTGGATTCTGGCTGACAGGCCATGTAATCCCACACTTTCCCTTCTTCTGTGTAAATCTGAGTTTTACACACATCATAGTGTCCCCACACCAAAGGGTAGGGCTGCATCAACGAGGACACTGTAACCCAAAGGGCATGAATGGACAAGAATCTTGACAAATACATCTCTAAATTCTTTGTTATCTTCGTGGCTTCTCTGTAATCTGTGTCTATTTTACATACACATATATGTGTCTGTTAATGTAGGTAAGTCTGTATACTTAAAAAAAGAAAGAGGATGAGATTTCAAAAAGATTCCAAACCAATACGAAGGATTTAGATATGGTGCATACTCAGGAATACTGATGACTTTGGTGGAAGCCTAACATAGCTGTGTGTTAGGCATCAACAACTTGCAGCTTTTTCTTCATCCTAGAACGTATCTATTAGACTCAGGTCTAGTTTGGTTTTGTTCAAGATGTCCAGAAGCAGACAGTTCAGCAAAGCGATGGCTCTCCCATTGTACATCCGATAACCCTGAGTGATCCTCAACGTTCCCGGCTTACAGGGGCTGTTCAGATGTGCTGAGATATCAGTATCTGAAGCACAAGGATGAGCGTCTTATAGTCCGATGTCTGTTTCCCATCAATCATTCTGTTCTTCTGGCACCATTACCCTTTTAAAAACAATAAGAGTAAGAGTTATTGTCCCACAATCAATGCATTATGAAATGTACGATATGTTGACATTTCAGAGGTTTGATACAATACAAAGCAAATTGGTGTAATATGGCTAACCTTTGCTCAGTTGCATTGCTTAGGATGAGCAAACCAGGAAAATCATCCATACTGAGGAGGATTTTGATAAGCATTTAACTCTTCCATAAAAAAGACAAGATGTGTGTGCTTCAGGTGCGTTGCATGTATCACCTCAAAAAGTGAGCTTCTATCTTAACTACATGTAGACTGCTAGATTCAAACACTTCTTACAGATTGCTGTGCTAGAAAAATCTTTTAAGAGAACAATGAGGTTTTTTTTAATAACAATGACAACTACTTGTATGCCTTTTTTTCTTTTGGCAAAGAGACCTTACAAATCTCCAAATTCTTGTACCTTTCATAGTTTTTGTTAGCTAAAGTGAAAGCTAGAGTTGTTGGTGTGAGTCTGTCCCTGTGGATTTCCTCATTATATTGGGAGACTTTGGCAATTTTTTTCTTTAGCTGCTTTTACTGACAAAGATAACTTGCCATTCTAAAAAATTCAGAAGTAAAACTAAAGGAGCAAGTCTTCCTTTCATAAGAATTTCCTATTTTCTTATATCTTTTTACAGCCATTACATCTGCATTTGCAGTTACTTTCTCTAACAGAAGAGAATTTGTCCCAAAGGCAAATATTATGCGCTGCTTTAAAAGTAAAAGCTCTGTAGTAAAATGCACAATTTAAAATGCACATATAAAGATAGCTGAAGGTGAGTTAATAGGCCATGAAGCAGGATAATGTGGCTCTAATTCTAAGAGAAAATAAAAATTACCATTTAAAAGTCCATATGGTAACTGACAATATAGCCTATACAAGTACAGACACAAGTCATTGATAATTTAATTGGCAACTTTTCTCTTTAGAGATCATTACTCAGATCTAAATAAGCAGTAGTACTTGGAATCCAGGTGTTTGGAAAAAAGGTGTGTTTTCTTAATTATTTGGTTCCTAAACATACTCCAAATTATTAACTATACTCCAGTTATTAATTGCTTTAAATGGCTTCAAAAGGATGAAAAAGCCTGTAACTTTGGAAAATTCCATTATAAATCCTTCAATTCACACTAAACAGTTTAAATGTGGAAGTTCACTATCTTAAAACAAACTTATAAAAGGAATTCACTATATTTAAATAATGCACCATCTTAAAATGAACTAAGCCACTGAGACTCTGAAATGCCAACAGATGGTTGAATTGTGTTTCCATAGCAAAGTAATTTATAATAATTGCTTTATGGATGCAAGTGCAATTTTCATTATATTCAATTCATAAAATGTTATCATACAGCTGCAATTTGTGATATTTTCTATTAGGAAAAGTGTTGAATATTTGAGTTCCTATGAAGCAGTAATTAGCAGTGCGTCTAAACATGTATAAACTACAGATTTGAATCTTCCTCTTACTTGTAAGGACTATGTTGTATTGAACACATTTTCAAATCTTAAGCAAAAAAGAAAAAAAAATCACGGAGGAGCATGTGTTGTGGCTACTATAGCCTTCTACTTTTCTCAGACTTATTACTCATTAGTAATTTTAAACTGATATTTTCAGCAACATCCAACACGCTGATGATTTATAAATACAAAAAGGTGTTAAAGGGATATAAATGTACATTTTCTAGATGCATTTTTCAACTGTTTATATTATAAGAGAAAACGGATACTTCTGAGGATAAGAGCAGTGGGCTTTTCAAGTGGAGTGGTGTAAAAGCTACTAGGATTGGAAACTGTTAACTATAATTCTTAGTTTCAATACACCACCGTTTACTTACTGAAAACAATCTAATCAAAGACTTGCAACTCACTGTTTCAAAATTAAACTGAGTGAGCATAGTGTGTTAAGCTGCAATATTATTTTGAAAATATGACTTCAAGCATATTTTGAAATGATCCCTGAGATCAGCGTTCACTTTCTTTAAAACAATATGATTTTCTAAATCCACTTCATCTTGGTTATATTCTCCTGAATCCCATTTTGACTTACTGCAACTTTATAATAAAGGGTGACCACACATTTGTGCCCAAAAAATTTGGACACTGAGGAAACCTGTGTGACCCTGCTACTACCTCCTGACATAACAGCAATTCCAATGTAATGAATTCTCATTAAGGTATACCAGAATTATAATAATGGTCATTACACAGGATTATGGACTGCACCACTGATCGAATTTAGAGAAGTGACAAGGAAAAATGCAGAGGAGTGCAAGATATTTGAATATTAGGCAGTTGCAGGACCGTGCGACAGACATTCTTGACAAGAAGCAGCCAATTATAGCTTAAATTTCTGGCACATAACCAGTTGTGATTAATAGTTTTCCATTACATTACAGACATATTATTAACGTATTAAAAATGTCAAGCTTTGGCAAGCACTAATATGGCATGGCTCAGTTAGTCTGGAGAATTTACATTTAATGAGCTCCCATTGACACAGAAAAAGACATTGACCACAGCATATTACAGATCAGGAACAGGGGGGTCCCTCAGCTATTCTCTAATTTAATTTTTTTCATTGTAATCTTTAATTTCAGAACATCACCTACGATGTATTCTTCATTTCAGGATCTCATTACTTTTCGGTGCTGCACACACCGTCCTTCAAAGAAAATCCCTCTACTTTCAAATTAGTCATAAATTAAATATATGAACTCCCATGGAACACAACAGAAAAGACAGCTCTGTTTGTGAAAATCAAGAATTTGCTACTGAAGTGTAATTATGGGGTTTTCCAAGGAAATGAAGTGATACACAAACAGGATATTATTTGCACTGCAACCTCTGTCACCTAATCGCACTGCTTTCCCTCTGGCTTTGCATTCAATCAGGTTAAAATATCAATAGATTCTTAAAAGCCAGATCATCAGAACAAATAGCAAAGCAAACCGATGATGAGAAGGACAGTCAATGACATATGTTGAGACTTAATATACTAAACATATCCCTCCAGGCCCATCATGGAACTAATTGCCAAGTAATGTGGCTTTTGAATTGGTCTCGGGTGTCCAGATCACCTGCACAAGGACAGCTTCAGACGAGCTCTGGACAGCCCCATCCCCAGTTCTTTACTTTGCCAAACTTAGGGACTCACTGTCATCAAATAACGTCATCAGCTCTACCTGTGAACTGAAGTCCTTTTTGATTAAAAAAGATACCCATTAAAATGCCACAAATACCCCACAGACCTCTGGTATATAAATTCTGAGATACAATAAAAAATATAAAATTATGTCATGGCCTGCAAGTTGATAGATATTATTCACTGGGGCTAAAATGGGCTATAAAATGAGTTTGCATAGAAGGAACATATATTTTTCTGGGATTCTGAAGGCAATTCCCTTGCACCTTGGATTATCTTTATAGAAGACATTTCACAGGCCCTTTCTGTCACCAGGAAGAAACAAAAAATCCTCCCAAAATATTATATAGAAATAATAATGATTAAAATGATAGACAATCATGTTCCAAAAGCAATTGCCAATTTTATCAAGTAAGAGGAAAATATTGCCAGTAAATCTACTAACACTAGCTGGCTTTCAGCATTCATTTTATTATATAATAGGAGGTGGGTGTGGTGATAGTAGGCTATTTATTCCATAAATATTCCAGCTCTTCAGGGGCACCTGAAATAGACAGCTATTGACTCACTCTTTACAGACATTAAGAATTTTATAGATATGCATGTTTCTGAATGAAAAGGAACAAAAGGAAAACTAACTATAATCATATGCCGTTGAGAGAAAAAATATACAGAAAAAGATCTACAAATTCTATACCCTCTCAAAGTTAGCAGTTTTCAATACATCCACAATAATAAGATTTATTGCATGAACTATTTTAACATACATTGACTGCTCTTTGCACATATTATTTGTTGGAAACAAAGAGCATCTTTTTTTCTTCTTAATGGAAAATATGGGCTGCTGTTTTTTTGTTAACCGTCTCTCAAAATATAAGGAATTAAGCATTACTGAAACATCATTGGCATATCTTAGTCATCCCTGATTGGGTATTATGAGCAACTGCCTATCAGGAGATTCTTAATAAAACAGGTAACACACCTCAGTGTTTGAAAGATCTCTATTTTCACTAAGAGAAAACCAAAGAGCAAAATCAGATGGCATATAAGTTTTGCAGATGTTTGGTGATTTGATAATACATACAATTATTTCAAAATCATTTCAGTCTAAAAGAAATCTGGTGTTTAATTAACCAAGGAACAACAAATATTTCATTCTCATGCAGAGATGTTTAGAGGTCCAAGGTTTCAAACACACATCTGAGAACATCTACACCCACCTGAAGTTTTGGAACAAAACTCTGGATTTTGAAAATAAAATTAGTTTTGAAAGTATGCTAAAATCACTTACTGATCTCTAACATAATATACTCCTCTCTCCCTCTGTCTGCCTGTCTCACACACACACACACACACACACACACACACACACACATACACTTTTCAATATTAACAGACAATTGGATTCCTAAATTGCATGAAAATTTATTCCTTTGCATGTGACTTGGTGCTTCTGTAACTTAAAAGCTGTCTCCAAATCTTTACTTAGAAAGCCTATCAACTAAAAGTGCAATAGCTTAACTTTAAAGATATTACTCAATGTTTTTCAGATAGTACTTTACTGGAATCAAAAACAAGTTATTTGTACTAATTGCAAACACACAAAAGGTACTGCAGGCTACATTAGCCTCTTCCTAAAAAGCTAACTTAAATTCATTGTAACACATGCTTACCCAGTGAAAGGAAAAAAAAAAAAAAAATCTTAATAGAAAAAAGCTTTTGGTCCAAATGAAATAAATTGCTTCTTTAGAAATTGTTTGTGATTACCACTCTTAAATCTCACAATAGGAAATATTATCAAATTAATAGCCAGGTATATGAAATGTCAAATGTC